AACCCTAACCCTAACCCTAACCCTAACCCTAACCCTAACCCTAACCCTAACCCTAGATTAGTAAGAATTAATAAAGAAAGTCTAAAGTTTATTAAAGTAAAAGAAGAATAGGTTTAAGGCGCTTAAATTTCTACTTACTACTTACTTTTAAGGCAGTAAGTATAATAAATATACGGGATTACCGCTATCTTAAACCGATCTCGAACCTCCCTCGACGCCACAGAAGTATAAAGCCCCAAAGCCATCTCATCCGTTTACTTCTCAGCCATAACAAACGCCTCAGGCGTCCTCGCAATAAACGCATCCACACTCTCTACACCGGCGCCGCCACTAACGAACTCTTCAAAAAAGCTCAGCAACAACCCCGTCACCACCTCCGTTACCCTCTTCCCGGCGATCGTCCCCAACGCCCCCAACGCCGCCGGCGGCACGACGCCGCCCTCCCTCGCCCCCAGCAGGTCGAATCCCAGCGGCGTATCCATGTAGTCCAGATGCGCCGTGCCGTTCACCTGCACATCGCGCAGCCAGCCCGTCTGGTTCGCATTGAATCTCCCCCACGACGCATCCGCGTCCTCGACGCCCTGGAACCGCGCCTCGCTCGCGAGTTCGACGAACGGCGTGCGCAGGTCCGGATTCGGCGCGTCGGGGTCGGGGACTTGTACCGCCGTGGAGTTCGTGGGGTCCGGCTTGACCAGGTGCTGGAAGGTGCCGTCGAGGTTCGACCCGGCGCGGTAGAGCCCGGGCGCCGAGATCATCGCGCCCGCCGACGCCGCGCCGCCCATGCTGTGGCCGAGCACGGCGTAGTGCGTCGTGTTGAACGGCGCGCCGTACTGTGCGATGAGCGCCGGGAGGAGGCCGCCGGAGGGGTTGAGGACGGCGGCTAGGTCGGCCAGCCGGTACTTGTACATGTGGTGGAAGTCGACGGATGTTAGAGAGCCAATGTCGCGGATGCCGTCGACGCCGGGCGCGCCGTAGGGGAGGGCCGTATAGGGCGCCTCGCCCGGGTGGTCGATGCCGACGACGGCGTAGCCGTGCGAGGCGAATTCGCTTAGGTAGGCCTGATAGCCGCTAATGGTGCCGCCGGCGCCGGGGGTGAAGAGGAGGGTAGGGTAGGGGGAGGTGCCGTTGCCAAAGGCGGGGTGGGTGCCGAGGAGGGTAGGGGCCTGGAATTGGAGGTTCGTCGTGAGGAGCGAGAGCGTGCCGTTGGGTACGCCGAGTGTTTGCTCGTAGGCGCGCGCGGTCTTCGCGTCGAGGTAGGGGACGGGGCCGGCGGGGGGTTGTATAGTGGGATAGTAGATTGTCAACAGCAGGATGCCGGGGTTCGGGGTTGGGTCATCTGGGGTCGTTGTGTGGTTTAAGACGTGCTGGGTGTAGCCGACTTGGTATATCCCGGTTGTGTTCCATAACGAAATGGCACTAACAACTGGCGCAAGTTGCGCGAGGGTGAAAAAGAGCGACCGCATGTTGACGGGGTTTGTTATTTGGTTGTTTTGCTGGTCCTTTCGCCTTTAAGTACTCACCGATTCTCGTATTAGCTGTAAGAAGTTAATTGATCCTTCCGAATCCTTCCTTGCGCAGTCCATCCGGTCTCGGAGCTTCTGTTATGATTCATTATGAAATGTTGCACAATGGGAATGAAGTGCTTCGCGTATTTGACTGCGTTGCGGCTGAGCGGGTTCTGGGATGTCGTGGAACACTGGCTGGATAAGCCACGTTCCTGACGGCACCGGCTTTAACGGCACTAAAAAGTGGCTAACCCGAAGGCGGCTGTGAACAGTCCCCTCGTGGCTAGCGCGAAGAAAAGCAGGGGCTTAAAACAGGGAATGACTGTGCCCATGCAAATGATGTGATCGGTCAAGCCCGCAGTCTGTCTCTGTTTTCGGTGGTTTACAGGCATCTGATAAATTGGGGGGGAAAAAAATTTCACGCTAGCCACCGGCCGCGAGAGGGGACTGTACCATTCTCGGCTGACCAAGCAATCTACGAAACCAAGCGTGCAGTGCAATGTAGTATCATCAAGTACTAATTCATTCTATAGTAAGATTATAGAGAGTATTATTATATCGTGTTAAACCCTTTATATCTCATAGCGCGTCTCGTATCTCACAAAATCGTCGTTATATGTTAGAATTATGGGTATCGGGCTTCTGCCTAAGGTATCCGCCCAGTGGCCCGGCCCCTGCGAGGAGCATGCGACTCGCCGGTCAGGTGTAACGGCGGGCCTCTGCCTCTAAGGATCCAAACACCAAAGAGGGTGGAAACCTGTCGGAGGGGTTTTCCTTGAGTGGGTACAAGAAGGGGGCGAGAACGAAGTAAGTATCGCGACTGAGCACAGCGTGTGCGAAGGTCGTTTTACCAATAGGGTCCAAATTCGATTGTTGAAGTAAATTCCAGAAGTTGAACACGAGGGTCAAAGTTATTTAAGGAGTGTGGTTTACATACGTGTAGGAGAGTTGTCAATCTGGTACTTTGCTCCGTATGGTCTGCGGTTCTATAGGCAGAGCAGGCCGAACACGGTATCGGCGTGAGGTGAGCCACGTGGGTCCGTTTTCACGCGGTGCGGGTGCAGCCCATTTCTTTCCTTATTCTGTTCTTTCTTCACCCCGTGGCGGTTGTGCTGGAGCATTATGGTTCCTCGGTTTCCGCGGTCGAGGTGGTAGGCGGTTGGATTTGCCGGCAGACACAAAGGGAAGCCGCGTTCTCGGGATGTTGTCCAGTAGCGGCACAGTCAAGACAAGCATTAGAATCGGTGATGGAGACGTATTCGAAAGCTGTTGGATCGGGGAGAGGCCAGGTTGGGGGATCGATGAGGTGGTGAGTGATGTGTTGGATCTGCAAGGCTTCCAGGACGTTGGCGCAGCCTCCGATGCAGGGAGGTTTGATGCAGGGTTTTCCAGCAGCTTTGGTGAGGGAGACGATGCAGCTGTTCTTAAGGGCAGAGAGGGGCTTTCCTGGGTTCTTGACAGCCCACTGATGGATGGCCAGGATCTCTCCACAGTTGGCCTTGCAGGGATGAGCAGTATCGGAATAGGAGTGATCCGATTCGTCGAGGTTGGTGGCATGGGCGCGGGGGAGGTGGTCGTGACCGTGGAGGTGGGCGATTTCAAGGGCTTCGGCGGCGGGCATATGGCCTCCGTTTCGAGAAGCAGTGGTATGGATTCTCAACCAAGACTTTGGTAGATTTCTCTTCACGGAGGAAGAGAGGTAGAGTCGGTCATCGTGGCGCAAGATGGTGATGACGGTTGGTGGGCGAAGGTACGGTCTCACATCCTTTTCTGTGCGGGTGCCGAAATTTTGCACGGTGTGTTTCCAGTGCTGGATCATGTCGGCCAAGGCGTGTTCGGCGAGTGTTACGCTGGAGCTTCGGAATGGGGAGTAAAACTGCGGGAGAGGAGCATCGGGGAGGTTCGCAGCGTCAAGGGGTTTCACTACCGCTATCTGGATGTCACTGAACACTGAGTGCAGAGGATAGCAGCCGTAGCCAGGCAGGGAAGGTAATAAGGTGGGTGCGAGGCAATGATTGGAATTGACTACGAAGGTCCTATCTACTGTAAACGAGTGTGGTCTATATACCGTGATTGGCCGCTGGTTGGCCAGACTGTGGTGTTGGAGTGGATAGTGGGATGGCTAGTGGCCGGGGATGATCTGCTTCGGGGCTCGTGCTTATTGGCCAACTAAGTGGGTTAAGCGTGGTCGGAGTTCGGCGGGTAATGATCCGTTTCCGCGTGTGAGTTCTGCCGCGCCGCTTGATCCTCTGCCTGGGTCCGTAATATAAGACGGCTGCACGACTATATCGACGATTGCTACCTCTAATAGCGATAGTAGTCTATATTAAATTTAGTTTCGCCGCTGCTAGTACATTTTCTTCTAAGAATGCTAGCGCTCCCGGTAATTACGTCTTACCTTCCAGTCCTTCGTGCGGATCTCTCGGCATTCCCGATGGCGCGAACAAGAACGATCTCTATCGATATCTTTACCCTTATCAGACCCTGCATCCTTGCTCCCCGGAAGGCCTACGCCCATGTATCCGCGATCCGGCCTACGAACTTAAGCGCTCCTGAAACGTGTCTGAATATTATGTGCCTCCGCAGCGCAAAGCACCACATGTGCGTTCGTCCCTCCGTATTCCAAGCTCGTCACGCCTACTCTATCATCCTGCGCTAGCTTAAGCTGGTCGAGTAGCGGGCGCAGCCTTCCCTTAAAATTGCACATTGAATTCATCGCCCCCAACTTTCCCATCGCTGGCACGAAGCCGTTCGAAATGGCCAGCGCCATCTTGATCAAACTCAACAATCCGCTGGCCGCCTCCGTGTTTTCAAAGGCACCCTTGTTGCTGCCCACGTGAACGGCGCTCCTGGCACTTGCACCAGGTAGTTGCACCTCGTCAAGTGCACGTTCCAATCCGCTCACTTCCAACGCATCCCCCATGCTCGTCCCACTACCATGTAGCTCGACGTACCTGATTACCTCCGGGGCCACGCCCGCAGCTCTGATGGCCGCCACCACGGTCCGCGCCTGGCCTGCGCTCGAGGGCACGGTGAAGCCGACCTTGTCGACCGCCCCGTCGGACCCAGTCGCGCAGCCCTCGATCACCGCATATACGGCGTCGTTGTCGCGGCGCGCTGCGCTCAGCGTCTTGATAACGACGGCGGCTACCGCGTCGGCGGGCACGGACCCGTCAGCGGCGGCTTCGAGCGGGCGGCAGTGGCCGGACGGGCTGAAGACCTGGCCCGGTGCCGTCACATAGCCACCCAACTGCGGGTAAACGACAGTAACTCCGCCGACGAGGGCGGCGGGGCAGGCGCCGGTGCGTAGGGCAGAGAGCGCGTGCTGTAGCGCGACTAGCGCGCTCGAGCACGCCGTGTTTAGCGTCGCGTTGGGACCTGTCAGGTTGAGCTTGTAGGCCGTGAAGGTGGAGATGGGCGGGTCGAGCAGCGTCCGGTGGCGCGCTTGGAAGCTGTCGGCAGGAAAGGGTGTGCCGGGCGCGTCCTTGTGCGTGTTGTGCGCTGCACCGATGAAGACGCCGGTAGGATTGGGCACTCCTTTGGTGGTGGGGATATTGGCGTCTGCGAGCGCCTGGGAGGCGATGGAGAGGAAGAATAATTTCTGTGCCGTGTTAGCGGGCGAGTGTTCCTGAACAGGGTGGTGACTATACCTGCGGGTCCGTGAGGTCTGCTTCCTCCGGCGTCATACCCCACGCTTCAGCACTGAATGGTGGAAGGTCGGGCAGAGAGCCGTATCGAGGTACAAAGATCTTATCTTCCGCCATTTCGGAGGGCGCCGCGGCTGCTTCATGGGTTGAGACAGCCGCGCGGCCGTCCATAATAATTTGCTAGAGGCTGTCAATATCGACAGAACCAGGGAAATGCCCTGCCATGCCTACGATGGCGAACTTGTTGTCGTCAGGGTCCAGGGAGTTGTTGGGGGATGTGGCAACCGTGCTAGCCTCCGGATCGCTCCCACCGTCGGAACTGCTCTTTGAAAGAAAATACCTTTGCTCGGACGCTCCCAGTTTGCTTGCCAGACATGCAGTCTGTTTTCCGATAGTGGGCGCTTGAAAAATGTCCAGTAAGCTTACCTTACAGCCATGAAAGCGCTCCACGATACGCTTGTGGAGCTCAGTTAGAGCAATACTGTGTCCACCAGCCTCGAAAAAGGATACGTCGGCGTTTGGCGGACTTGCCAGCTTAAGAGTTTGCATCTAGAGATCCCCGACGGTTCTCGACACGCTTTCCTCATGGCGTGGCGACGCATACGACCCATCCGCCTTCGAACCTATGGTGGGCAGCCTCTTGCGCACTTGCTCATTCTCGGGGAGGGACGCGAGTAGACCTTGCAACTGTCCAGAAACCTGTGTATGGTCTACTTTGCCGTTGGCATTCAGGGGCAGGGCCCGAACTGCAAAGAAACGAGTAGGGAGAGAGTAAGACGGAATATCCTGACGCAGCCTGCTGCGGACGACATCGCATGGGACCGTATCTGGTACAACGAAGGCCACCAGCAAATCTCCGTGCACCTGGACGGATGTGACTTGCACCTCCGGACTGTGATCCAAAATACTCTTTTCAATCTCGTACAAGTCTATACGGTAGCCTCGTAGCTTGATCTCGCGGTTCTTCATGCGCCCGCCGATACGCAGCTTGCCGTCCTCGTCCAAGAAACCTTTGTCACCGGTCCTGTACAAGCGAGTGTCGTGGCCGTCCTACTAGATGGTGTGGAATCGAGTGCGGGTAAGTTCAGGCTGCCCTTTATAGCCGCGAGAGACCTGAGGGCCGATGATACAGATCTCTCCCTGCTTCCCAATTGGAAGTGCCTCGTCGTTATCCTCGGAGCAGATTAGGATCGTCGAGTTGGGGAACGGCTTTTCAATCCTAGAGGGCGAAGGCAGCAGAGAATCGCTGCGTTGATCTTCCTCAAGAACTTCCACAGTCACAATGACACTATAATTATCAGCCTATGTTCTCGAGCAGTGGAAAAAGTTGGCAGCATACGTTGTTTCTATTAGGCCAAAAGCGTGCAAGAGCTGGGCTTTCTGCCTCCACCTGCCGAGAAGACCGGCAGAGGATGGTTCTCCTCCGACAGATATTATCCTCAGCGAAGCCAGATTTCTATCAGTCGGAATTGTGGCGAGTACCGAGGGTGTGGTGTGGAAGAAGTTGATCTCGTTTCTGTTGATAACAGTGGTGAGATAGTCCCCTACGAGCAGCTCTGGGTAATCGACGAAGCAGAGAGTTGCGCCGTATGATAGCGTAACTGCCCACTCTAGAACAGATACATCAAACGAAAAGGTCGCGAACTGAAGAACACGGCTGCCCGGCCCAATCTTCACGACGCTGCGGGCGGCGCTCACGTAGTGGCTTACATTTGAATGCTCTACCATAACCCCCTTTGGCTGGCCAGTCGAGCCGGACGTGAATACGACTTCGAATCATTAGTACGGTTGTATTGACTTGTGGATAATTAAACCTACTATATGCGAGATTGTTGTCTTTCAGTGTGCTCTCCAGCATCGTATGCGGCTGCGTCCGTAGCTCTCGCTCGATGACGTCAAGGCTTACTACCATGACGGCCAGATGAGAGACAACCTGGTGGATCTTGAGGTCGTCCGTTACTAGAAAGCGTGCTTCGGAAGTGGCGGTAATGGCGGCCTTGCGTCTGTCTGGCAACTTTTTGTCCAAGATGACGTAATAAGCGCCCGCTTTGAGAATCCCGAGGAGCCATACGACAGTGTTGAAACCTCGAGCGATGTTCAGCAGGACCCCGTCGCCAGGGGCAACACCTTTTGCGGCGAGATAATGCGCAATCTGACTGCTTCTATCCTCCAGGTCGCGGTACGTCATCGTCTCATCGCGCTCAGCCGAATATAGCGCAACGGCACTGGGTTGCTTCGCGGCGCGCTGTTTGATCCAAACATGCACCCGGGAACTGCTGATAGCCTCAACATCCTCTATGCATGGTCCGTTGATTATACTGGCGACTTCACGACCTCGGAGGAACGGGAGCTCGCACAATCTGAACCTGCTGTCTTGCTGTGATAATTTTACCGTGTTGAGAAACTCCTCCTGCAGCTTCGCCATGGCATCATCGCTGAAGATGGCGGGGTTTGCAATGACCTTGAAGAGTTAGTTATCGACCGAATCAGCCAGAGGTAGACTTACACCAAGAGAAACGCCATTATCATGCCCTAGAAAGCAGAAGAAAAGGTCCCAAACTCCCTCCACCGGGTAGATCGAGCAGGCCTTGTTAGCCAGCTTTGGCGAGAATGTTACAGCCACCTTGAAGTTGAGATGGCAATCGTCCATCTTCTTCCGGGCTTCCTCAATCAAGCTGAAGAACGGGAACATCTCGTGCTTTTTCCCGTTAGAGAGATTCTTTCCAAACGCCTTAACCGCTTCGGCAAAGGTGGTATTGTCCTGCAGCAAGCATGCGAGCGGGACCTTCACTGGCATCTATTGACGGATCAGCTCATGCATGAATGACTGGCTTCCAGTGCATACCGTATTGGCCATGTGTGAGACGCATGTTTGGAATTCCTTCGGACGAGCGCCGAACGCCACGAAGAGAGCCCGATCGTGGTGCGGCGTGGGTTCCGCACTGCCTTCTGTGACCAGGCTGACAATTGTAGAGGCGACCCGGAACCAGGATGTCTTGTACAGCTCACTCCACTTCTGCAGTTCTTCGTTGGGGAAAAATGCCCATGTATGCATGCGGCGGTAATGGCCCGTGTGCTTGGTAGGACCGGCTACGCGCTACGAGAAAGGAGCCGTGTGCGCGATTTGTGACATCCAGAAATCCTTTGCAGCTCGTCCTCTGGCGCTTCTCAAGTAGGCATCCTAGAAACTGCGTGTAAGTAGACTGGCAGGTGGAACGCCTAATTTTTCTCACCTGTCTCTGCACGTATTCTCCGTATGGAAGGCCTGATTGTTTGCTAGCCGGCTGCTCTGTAGGAGGCTCGAGGAACCTCAGGATCTCTTTGGACAGAACACTAAGGCTAAAACCGTCGACTGAAATGTGGTGACCAACAGCAAATAGCCTGTACTTGTTCTCGATCTCTCCTTGAAATTTGACTTCGTGATGTATAACCCAGCGAACAGGGAATTCTGAGCACAGGTCGAAGCCGCGACGAAGAGCGGTGGAAAGCCTCGCTTCATCATTAATGATCTCGAAACTCTGAACGGATGCATCCTGCGAGTGAACAGCCATGAATGGTCTACTCATCGGGTCATCTCCATCGAGGTGAAATGTCGTCCTTAGCATCGGATGATCCTTTCCCATCATCTGGATGACTGCGCAAGATACTGTTATTAGCAGCATCCTCAGTTCAGATCACAATAATACTGACCTTGCAGGAGGTGTTCCAAATTCAGGCTTAGGTGCGATAGGTTAACTTCAAGCCTGAGGTGGTAGTGAGATACGTGAGGTCTGGCCAAGTAATCGAGCTAGAGGGCTTGCTGCACTTTCGATAAGGGTACGACAGAGACAATTTCGCTGGGCGGATCATGACGACTGAGAGGCCCTGAGCTGCTTGGAATGGGGCCGCTCAAGAACGGCATAGGCTCGAGTGACATGTTGAAGGGGTATTGCTGTAGAGGAGTTGTTTGATGAAGTCTTCTAAGACGAAACCCAACCATTTATACCTTTGGGTGACTGTTTGTTTGAGAATGCCCCACTTCGATGAGAGTTGTCCTTTAGGCTTGTCCTTCGGGCTTGTCCTTCCATGATAGAAGACGTAAGAATCCTCGAGTCGCACGCAACCTGTATAGTTATCGTGGCCTGCTTGGCATGCAGAGAAAGCATGTTATGAGGTTTCAGCAGGCGAGGAGACTTGGAAAAGCGAAGCTTTTCTGTCTGCTGCCGATAGGCTTGTTCATATCCGTCAACTTCGGAATGGGACATTCTTCGCAGGCTGAACCACTACGGATAGAGCAAAGACAGACCGAGATAATAGAGGCAGCATGAGCACCGAGAAAAAGCGTATTGGAAAGCGTCGGCATGGCGGCTGATTCATATCTCACCGGTTCATGGCACTGCAGCCAAGGCCTCTAACCTCCCGAGTTATTGTCACTCATTTCTGGCCGAGACTGAGTGAAGTGTCATTCAGCAAGACACAACATGATCAAGAACTAATTGCGTATTCGTATACGCTTTCCTCTTGCGGAACAGATGCGGATGCAGCGCCGCACGGCAGTCAGGGCTTCCGATTTTGCAAGGGAGAGGCACAGCTTGTAGATACTACACGTTCCGGCTCGCGGCCAGCAGTAGTCCAGCGGCGGAGGCGCAGGAGATTTGCTGTACTATCGTCAGAGGGATAACATCTGTTAGCGCGCTCTACTCCGACAGCAGTTAGAATGAGGCTTTTTCATGAGAAGTATCCAATAGGGTGCTATCAATACCCTGGAACTGATGATTTTTGTTAATGTTGCGCTAACAAAAGATACCCCTCCGACTACCTCTTATACATGCTATTGGGCTGCAACGACACGCAATTGCCGCGAAAGCTCGCACAGATGGATTTGAACGGTTGGTCGTGGTGCGCATCTCCAATTCTGCATCATGCATGCAGGTATTGAATACGACTTCATGCTGGCAGCGCAACCACAGTGGCTACTCACAGACTTCATCCATAGCTATGATTTGCCGGGTCACGTAGCGCTTCTTCGACGCCCAAAATTTTGTTTAAGAGAAGTAGCAGTAAGTAATCTAAAGGAATGTGCAATAATTTACAAGCGTAAGGTTTTACCTATCGCTTTGTCGTGGCGGTTCCGTTTGCTAGTTTGGTTGTGGAGGGATGGCCGTGGATGAAGTCATTTGCCACCCCCTGTGCACCGACCCATCGGACCCATTATTTAAATCAGTGAGTCTGCATCAGGTGAACCGGCCCATTACTTAAATCAGTGAAGCTCCATCAGCTGAGCCGGCCTGTTACTTAACTTAGTCAAGCGCCATCATTCAGCCTCGCGCCTAGCTGCGGACCGTCCCGCCCGGACCGTTCCGTAGGGGAACATCTTCCTTGTTGAGAAGCAACCATTGGCTACTGTTGGTTCGGGAAAGCACAGGCGCGCGTGTCCACATGACGCCGGCTCCCTGTATCATGTGTCGTACAATGTCAGCCGCCAAGTGTCATCCGGAAGTGACTCCGAACGCAAACTCAGCAGCCCCACTTTCAATTACGGGCTCAGTATCCCTCGGGGAGTGGTGACCGTAGGTGTTCCCTCTATGCCCCAACCAACGACCTTCGAACCAACTCCAGGATTCTCGAGCTATGCACCCTTTACGCCTCGGAAGCTCACGACCACCTACAATGCTTTTCCGACAACTTCAGGATCTCCCAGATCGCACAGCAGAGAGCAGCCCCTACTACATCCTAGCGGTCGTGTGAGTATTGATTTCATGTGCTCTAATATATCACTAACACAATATTTGTAGGTGCTCTGCGATGTTTCTCGATCTTGCAAACTTAAGTGCCATCACAATCGCACTTCCTACAATCTAGACGAATTTCGGTGTCAACGTTAGCGATCTCTAATGGATCATCTCCGCTTACGCTCTCACGTTCGGCGGTTTCCTTCTGCTGGGTGGCCGCGGAGGTGACATCTTCGGGTTGGGTTCTACCACAACTTTGCATCCTCATGGGCGCATCTAACGTCGAGCCTAGGCATCGTCGCATTTTGCTTTTTGGCATGATCTTCTTCGCTTTGTTTAGTCTGGTCTGCGCTCTGTCTCCAACCTTTATAGGACTTGTCATCGCCAGAGCTTTTCAAGGCATAGGTGCTGCTTTCACCATCCCTCCAGCGCAGGCACATGTTGCCCTCCATTTCACCGATCTAACGAAGAAGGCGAAAGCTCTTGGAATATGGGGCGCCGCAGGCTCTCTGGGCTTCATCATTGGACTCATCCTTGGAGGTGTTCTTACGGCATTCCTAGGCTGGAGGTGGATATTCTGGATATCTTTGATCATCTCAGGAATCGTCATTCCAGCGGCATATGCGATCCTTCTACGGGCCCCCTCTCCTCGTGCTACTACTCCGCCCCCTGCAGATGGAGAAAGTACGGGTGATAGCGCACAGGCGCCAACGAAAGGGCTTCTACAATCGGTCCGTGAGCGTCTTATCCGATTCGACGCTCTAGGCATCTCTCTAGGCATCCCTGGTATTCTCCTCCTTACCTATGCACTTACCTCCGCTAATACCGAAGGTTGGAATGACGGAAAGATTATCGCCACTCTTTTAGTGTCTATTATCTTGCTTGTCGTCTTTATCCTGCATGAAAGCGTGGCCCCTCAGGCAATCCTAGCTCCCCATTTATTCCGCAACCTATCATTCAACCTCACATTGATTCTTGCCGTCAACACCTACGCCGTACGACAAGCATGCACCTACTTCCTTACTGTCCAGCTCCAATCCTATGGCGCTAGTGCCATCCACACCTTAGTTCTTTTCATCCCACTCGGCGTGAGCGCCCTTATCTTTAATACTCTTTCGGGTCGTCTCGTTTCTATGCTTGGCGCTAGGGCTATGGTAATGCATTTCCCCGCTTCGACTAATGAGCTCTGTGATGTCGAGTTGATGGGCTAACTCTCTTCTATTCGTCTACTAGTTCATCATTGGTTGGGCTCTTTCGATCCCCGGCATCCTCCTTTTCAGCTTCATTACCGAGCATTCTTCGTACTGGCGTTACACCTTCCTAGGGATGATTCTATATATCGCCGGTATTGGTGCTGTCTACATTACTGCTAACTTCGTGGTCATCTCTTCTGCGTCCAAGTCGGACCAGGGCGCCGCCGCTGGCGTCTTTAACGTCGCACTGCAGGTCGGTGGCAGCGTTCTCGGCCTAGCCGTGCTGACCGCAGTCGCAGAAGGCATCGAGAAGACACACGGTGATGCAGACCTTCCTCAGGGCGAGCTTACTGGCATTGGATACAGGAGCGTATACTATAGCTGCGTAATCTTAAGTGGTGTTGGGCTCTTTCTTAGCGTTTTCGCGATTAAGGTACCAGACAGCATGCGTGGGTCGGTTTGGAAGAAGAAGGTCAACATAAGTACCGCTACTGAGACCTCTTCGTCTTATGAGCTACAGCCGACTGTTACGGCACAGCCTCCACGGGGTTAGAAAACATTAGAATAATGATGATGATGATTTATACACCCCGTCGACCTCTACGGGTCTATATACTCCAGTCTACCGCACTTTTTTAAGTTCACTCTATAACATACCCTACAAGCCAGCGGACCACACAAGCGAGTGGACCACTGTAACGGTAGGCTCCTTCCACTCAGCTTCGGAGTCGCTTAGCAGGTCAGTGAACCGTATGGTTGTGCAGTGTATAAGAAACTAGTTACAATCTAATAGATAGTGATAGATAGTTAATACCCCTCCTGAAGGTCGAGTGGATAGTTAATGATGATGATTTATACACCCTGTCGGCCTCTATAGACCATAGGGAAAAGACGCACTATGGAATATCTTAAAATACATGAAGATCCCGGTTCATCCAAAACCCAAAATTTGAGAGAACAACGGCCAAATATCAGCATTTACCCAGCGAGAAAGAAGAGGAGAAGACGAGAAAACCCTAAAGTTAGTAGGATACGGAGTTAACCGTGCTCGCTAAGCAGCTAAGAGTGGGGATACTAGTGGACTTCGATTTGCACAGGTTGCTGAAAGCGGATTTGCGCCGCTCTACCTCCCTCCCCCCGCTGGACAAGTCGCAACGAGTATAAAGAAAATTAGGAACCTCTTTGGACTAAAAGGATGGTTCCTGTTTTAAAGCCTCGTTGAGAAAACGGGGGCGTTTCGGGGTGGCTCGTGAAGTGACCAGCTCCTGCACCGCAGGAGGAGGCAGACTAAGTAACGGCAAGCACATACACTGATGTCCTTCACTAAGGCTAAAAACGAAAAAGATTTTAAACGCGAATTTGAATCTCTTGGCCCTACGATATCTACGGACGAAGATGATGGGGGCGGATTTGCCACCGTTGGTGCGTCACGACGCGCTGCGCGTCTCTAAGCCCGACAAGTCGACTACCGCACCCTCTACACCGGCAAACCGACGGGACAGCGAAAGGCCCGCGCGACCACCGCATCCGAACTGTCTCCCGATTCGATCCTGGACAACGTGATTGGCTTGCTCAATGTCATTGTCGCGCAGAACGACCGGCTCACCGAGCGGAACGAAGAGCTTGGAGATGAGATCAGGCGCCTGCGGGGCGCGCTTGAGACATCGGAGGAAATGCAGTACCCCGCTCTCGCTCAACTTCTCGGCATCGGGCACTTCCGCCTCGAGCCTGTCTGCAAACCCTACCTTCGATATTCGCCCGTCTATGAAATCAAGTGACGAGTGAATACTCAGCTCAATGTGCATGCCCCTAAAGCTCGTGGTGCTGAATGCACTTGGAAATCCCCTCAACGCCTGATTTGGCCGCCTTAAACCGGTGCCGGCAAGCCCCTAAGTGCGCGAACATTAGCGATCGTGATTCGGCGTCCCTTTCAGCCGTTAGCTACATTCTTGCGATTTGAGCTGTTCGTACTAAACATGTTTCATTCTTTCCATCAAAAGAGCGTCCTCAACAGATGCCTAATTACCACTTTCCTATCACCCTGATCTCCCGACCCGTGCACATTTTTAAACGGGAACCATTTTTTCTGTCTTCGACAATACTTCCTCAGCTCTTCAACGCTCTGGAAAGTCTTTACTTCCTCCTTCTTATGACTCTTCGCTCGAACCCAATGAAACAAATCTATGAGATTGACATAATTTTCCCGCAAGGCCTTTCGACATGCGTTATGATCGCATGGCAGCGGTTTAATACCCACGGCCCTACGTAGCGCGTGCCAATTGCCCGACTCTTCCTCGCTGCCGAACCAGATACCCGACTCGGTTCGCATAGCTGAGTGGTACTTCTGCTTCGCATGCTCGTAGTTCGAATCGCCGTCTTCCCAACGCATATGCGCACGTAATGTGACGAATGCGTCGGACGGAGCCTTCGCACGCTGGTATTGGAAGCCATGCTCTGCCTCATAAGCCTGGAAGAAGGAGTCGAGGGGCGTGTCTTTCGGTTTCGGGTCCGGCGGATGCTTGCTTCAGATGTGACTTTCCAGTCCGAGGATAGACTTAAAGGATCTGGCGCAATGGGGACAGGCGTGGCGTGTAGCTGTTTTTGCCCCAGAGCTGCGGTCATGATTCTGAGGGTCTTGGGGTTGGCGATTCTGGATGAAGGAGGTCCTCGGTTTGAGAGCTCGGGAAGCTACTGCTTGTCTGCGACGAAATATCATCACAAACCTCGAATCTTAGCGGCGGAAAGTTGAGTGAGGGTAACTGAGGTCTGGGTTCTGCAATTTGATACAACAACAACAACAACAACAATACTTACAGGAGAAAGGATGGAGTATTGGGGGGGGGGGATACACTCAATTCATCAATTATTCGACCGATCGAGCGCGAATTCTATCAAAATCCAATCTGTTTCGATGACAAAATGGCCTGCGTAAGGTTTGACGCATGTGTTCGGGCTGAGTCTTCGTCGAGCAAAGAGGTAGTGGAAGAAGTTGAAGGTTGGTAGCGTGTCCAGCAGTCAACCGTGAAGCTTTTACTCTAACTACGAACACAATTTGGTCTGATCGATTTACTGTCGTCTCCGCGTCACAAATTCAAGCTTGTAAGCTAATTCAGCAGGGAAATCTCGGCAGAAGCACACGCTAAAGATATTGAGAAGCTGGAGACGTCTATTGGGGGTATGTACCGGTGGCGAGATTAGGGAAGCAGCGATATTGGTGGACGAAGGATGCAATGTTGGCCACATGAGCAGCAAGCTGCATATCGTGTAGACACTCTGGTCGGTACCGAAGTCAACAAGTGCTGAGGGTAGCTGCACCCGGCCGATGCAAGGTTGCACCGGGCATCCAGTTAGAGACCAGATGGAGCAGCCATCAGCGCTCAGACGTGGCACGCAGGAAGGCGGCAGAGAGATGAAAGGGTGTAGTGCAGAGCGAGCAGCGGGTGGGCGCGGAGCATGGAGTTGTGATCTTCTAAACGGACGCACTGCATCCCGGTGGCACAGGCAGAGGTGAGAGTGCTGGAGAAGGGCTTACACAGGCTGCAGGCTCGCGACAGCTCGTTTCAGCCAGATCATCATGCTCTGGTTTGGCCGGACCATACGTGACTGTTGAGTAGATGTTTTCTCTACAGAGACTTTTATTAGCTATTTCCGTGCCACTCAGCCCAGGTGAGCGTAGCACACCACCGACAGGCGGTGACGAGTCGGCGTTTTAAGCGCGGCGCAGATACTGGTGTTACGCATCAGTAGAACACTGCAGCCGAACGCTAGCGTAACGATTATAAGTGCCACAGAGTATATGTTGTGACGCGATAGGCTCGGACTGCGTCAGTCCACAGACAAAGCATTGCACGGTGGAATTCGGCGGCGGTACTCTTATGCATGGTGTCGGGGCAGAGATCCGTACGCTCGGGCCACGCAGGCATCCGTTGAGTTTTCTGGGGGTCCAGTATGGCAGTTCGCAGACATAAAGAGTGGTCTACGGCGCTGGAGCAAATCGGAAAAGCTGATGCTGGAATCTGGAGGGCGGGGGTATATGCTGCGACAATAACGAGGATGCATGGTACGGTGTTACAAAATATGTGCCGTGTTTCTTCTGCAGCGCTACATCTATTAAGCAAATAAAATCTCTAGATAAAATCTTTATAGTTAATTTTAATTATTACTTTATATTTTTTTATCATTTTTTTATTTAACTATAACTACTATTTTTTATATATAATATTTAATAATATTTTAAATAGTAGTAATAAACTATTAACGCTATATATTTTTTTTAAATTTTATAAACTATACTTTTTAGATAGCTTTAATCTTTATAATTAACTTTAATAATAAAATTTAGACTTTATTAGTAATAAAATCTTTATATATATAGTATTTAATTATATCTTACTTTTTATATTTTTAATTCTCTTTCTATATCTACTTAAAAAAAACTTTTTAATAGATTTCTATTTTCTTTAATATTTAGATTCTTAGAAATAGAGACCCGCCGTTATAGATTAGAGTTAAATAAACTTTAATTAATTTTTTTAATAATAGATAGACCGTTGGAGTAAAAGAGATAATAAAATTTTTAAAGAGTATTTAAATCTAGTAGAAGAGCGTTAAAATATAGATAGAAGGCGTTAAATTTATACCGGCCTTATAGTTCTCGCTTTTGCTACATCCCACGCTACAGTCTCCATCGGTACATCCGGCCCTGTCAGCTTTGCCACGCCGACATCTACACCAGTCTCCTTCGTTAACCAGTTCCGCAGCTCGGCTGCGACCAAGCTGTCCACGCCATACGCGCCCAGTGGGCGCTGCGGATCGACTTCTTCTGGCGGCACCATCATCAGGCGCGCCATCCGCGACCGCAGGTGTTCAGCCACCAGCGAGGCCACGGCGGCGGCGTTGGAGGAATCATCAGCGAGTTGGCGGGCAAGGCCAGCGCTGAGAGACTCGCTGCCTGTACCTGCACCGTTGGTGGCGCTGCCATCTGCGGCGTCGTTGGTTGAGCACGCGGTGCGGAGCTGCTGCAGCGCCTGCTTCAGGGGGCCGTAGCGCGGGAGCTGGAGGTACGCGTCGCTGTTATTATTGTGGTCATCGGCATCGTTGCTGTCCAGATAGTTGAGCGGCGGGCTGACGATGATGATGGAGCCGACTGTGCCACTCGGCTGCAGCAGCGCGGCTTCGATTGCTGCCTCGACGTCGCGAAGGGGCGGTGAGCGAAGGCTGGTGCCGAGACCTAGGGAGATGGAGAGGATGCGGTGCTTCCGCCCCTTCGTTTTGGCTGGGCCATTGTGCGGAAAGGCGACTGCTGTTTCTGGCTCGCGGGATTGATGGCCGGAGGAGAGGAGGATGAAGAAGTCGACAGGGGTGGCGCTCAGTGCAGCTGCGGCGTTGGAATTGCAGCTGAACTCTGGAGCCATGTCGCCGAAGATGACGCCCTTGATAGGACGCGACGATTCTTGAATGCTCTGGAGCGCCTTGTTCAGAGAGGCTGCGCTGTCGGCGAGAACAGTGGTTGCCTGGATTCCGATGTCATCCTTGAGGCTTTGAGCATGAGCTTCGTTGGCTTTGCAGCTGGCCGCACTTTCGGACAGGAAAACGAGGTGCTGTGCGCCCCTCGAGATCAACCATCTTGCCAATTCGCTGCTGGTGCCGGCGAATTCGCCCGCGAGGATATATGTCCCGTCCTGGTGCAGGGTGATGCGTGGAGGAGACAGCGTGTACTGTGGAATGGTAAGAATCTGGCCTGGGGATGTAAAATCTCAACCCTTACCTTGATTTGATCGTCAGCTGCCATGTTGATGACAGTCTGGCCCATGTGCTCGCCCGTCTGCATGTAGCCGAGAACCGTCTCGATTTTCCTGGCGGTTCACGTCAGTTTCACTTTTCTCCACACTCAGATGCAATGGCACATACCCAGCTCCATAGATCGACAGCGGCTTCGCGGTTTTGACACGGCCGTTGCGCAATGTGTTCGAAAGACCGGCCATGATGGACTTCATGACCTTGCTTTCCTTCTTGACGAGTTCGTACAGGTCGATATGGAAGTACGACCTGTTCGGGAGCAAGGGAAACACATCCAGGGCGTCATCACCCGCTGTTGCCACCTCGTAAGCCGATACTCAAGATGTTTGGGAAGGCGTGAGAACTCACCGATATCCACAAAGCGGCCGCTGTCCGCAAGACAAGCCCACGACAGCCTCCTCAATTCCCCTTCCAACGAATTAAGCACGACATCTAAAAGGTAGTCAGCCAGGCTTCCCTGCCCAGCGCGCACAGTCGGCAAAACTCACCAACGCCCTTCCCACCAGTGACTCTTTCAATTCCCTTAGCAAACACCTCATCACGGCTGCTGAAAACGTTGTTTGCCGATATTCCATACTCGTCGACCAGCAACTTCCTCTTCGCCTCGGATCCTGCCGTGACAATCATCTCGGCGCCCAGTTCCTGCGCAAGGAGCACGGCAGCCTGGCCCACGGCGCCGGCGGCCGCATGCACCAGCACAGTCTCCCCGGGCTGCACTCTCCCAACCTGCACGAGGGCGTGCCATGCCGTGGCATACGGCAGCACCCAGCCCGCAGCGGCATCGAAGGAGACGGATGGCGGCAGCGGCAAGGCAAGCTGGGCAGGGAGCCGGGCGCGCGTGGCCAGGGCGCCATGCGGCGCGAAGCCGACAACATGGTCGCCGGGCTTGAGGGCCGACGAGCCATGGCTGGCGACGCGGGTGACAACGCCGCTGCAGCCCACGCCGAGCGAGTGGCTGGAGATGGCGCCAGACGCAACG